CATGATACATATGTAACTATGTAAAGTCCCATATAGTGTGATCACTGCTCATTTAGGTTTGTACATTATAGTTTAAGTATAGAACATTAATGAAATTTCTACATGAATTAGTATAGATCAATAATTTACCAACTACAGCATATCCACTATTTGTCTTCACACAGAGAAAAAACAAGGGTACTGCATATTTTGTTGTTTTGTATGTAGCATCTAAAAGACAGATTTCACCACCATACTTGAGCAGGAGATCTCTCTGCCATTTCTCTTGGTGTACATATAATAATTGGTCTTTATAGGTTGCCTCTTGGGTATCTTTGAACATTCTCAAAAAGAATTTTCTACTGCCATCTTCCTTGGACCACTCCTTGATTTTTTTGTCCAAATAAACCTGGGGGAGTGAGTGTGAGTGTGAGTGTATATATAGAGGGCCACAAGTTTATTAGTCTAGGGACTATTACGTGCTACCGTCTCAAAATAAAAGACTTTATTTATTTATTTTATTATTACCTGGTCCAGCTTACTTAGTTTTAGTTGGTAGCCAATCTTGTAGATGTGGTTGCTGATACATTTGATTGAGGGATAGAATTGGCTATTCAAAATACTTGGTGGATCAGTTAAACCATGAAACATTGTCTTCTCTACATAGGACTTCAATAAATTCTGCAGGTCATAAGGATTTGTGAGTCCTATCAAATAATGAAAAAGATGCATAATTAAAAAATGGAAAAATAAAGAAATTATGAAAAGTAAAAAAAATACATATGATAACCCTGGTAGATTATCTCTATCACAATATATTTGTGATATTTTTCGAGCTATCAACTAAAAAGAACTACAAAAATGTATATTGTTGTATATTTACCTGATTTGACATATTCAGTAATTTTTTCAATGAGTTCTGGGTGTATGGAGTTCTCAACACTGATAGTCTCATCCATAGAGTGGTTGTTGTGTGCATTACTTCTTGGAGCTTCAATGTAAAACCTTTTCAAAACAGAAATGGACTGTTGATCATCAACCAACTTTTCTCTGATTTTCTGCAATGTATTTGGCTTTAATTGTCTTTCCACCTGAAAGCAGATAAAGCTAAATAAAACTCTTAAATAAAAAATGAAAAGGGGGTGACCCAACTGAGTATAATATTTACATTAAAAACAAATGTGAAAAAAAAGATGGATTATGGGAAGAAATATCATGAAAGTGCCTACCATACAACCAGACATTCCCTGAGATTTTGAACTTATGTCGTAATCCACAAACATTGAAACTTCACGAATTGTGACTTTTGCTTGACAACCATGTTTTTTTGTATCTTGAAGGTGGAATCTTTTCTTTTTGGCTTCTGGATGATCATTTATCTTCAATTTATAATTATAGTCTTAATTAGTTGCACTTGCAGTGACAAAATAAAGAGAGAAAATCAATACTTCATTGTTTAGCAATAAAATTTTAAATTGCAAAATGATAATATAAAACAGTCACCTCATCATGTGTCCTCTTCTTTTGCTTTCTTTTCCCATAAACACATTCTAAAACCCTCTGTCCCTCAAGAATAAATGGTATCCCACTGTAAGGAATTTTTACTCCTGCTTTACTTTCCCATCTCAACTTCCCTGTAAGTACATGCAGAGTTTTAAATTTCTTACCGTCCAGTCAAAAGTGCGACATGCTTTAGCAGAAACGGTAGATCAAATAAACAACTTGAAACGTGAAAATTACCTTGAGATGTATATCTTTTTGACTTTTCTGTCCTTTTCTCGGATTTTACTGTGCTGTAGGAAATGTGGGCTACAGCTTCAAATTCTTTTAAAAACGAGTTCAGATTTTCTTCACCGTCTATATATCCTGTTGCATAGTTAATATTTTCGAGGCAAAACTCTTTTAAATGCTTTGAGAAAACGTTTGTTAATCGCTCTTCAATGTTCTTTTTATTATTGCCGGAGGCCATTTGAACTTTGGCGGGAATTGGGCATTTTTCCGAGTTATTTCCGAGTTGTCCATTCTTCGGAATAAGCTTCGGATAGCCATCGGAAACTTAGCGTATTACGTCATTACATCAACTGCGTGCTACGTAGGCTCTCCCGCTTCGAATACAAATCTTCGCGCCCTCTCACATAACAAACAAGGGCATTGGCTCATCATATTCGATGGAAGTTCCCGTATGAAAAGATGGCATTGCATTGTGGACTCAAACCACAGAGAGCCCAAGCAATGGCTTTGATGTCGCTATTTATATATGGAGGGGAAAATTTTTAAAAACCCACTTATAATAGTCTACATTGCGATACTAAATAAAATAAAATTAGATAATTTTTTGAAGCAAAAGTTTATTTTTAACTATTATAGATTCAAAGTCATTGCTTGGGCTCCCTGTGCTCAAACTAGCCTGCGTTGCATCTCGGGAATTTTCCTACCTTGTTCCCAGTTTCCTCTCTGTAAAAATGYTACAGCTTCAGGGAGGGCACTGGAAATGACTTTGTGTTTGCATTTTGCAATATTTTAGACCTTTGGACCTTCTTTYACCACGAGATTGATAAGAAAACTCGACAAAATTTGAGGTTCTGCTCCAACACGACTCGCCRAACAAGATGGCAGCAACATCACGACATATTCCTGTAAGTATTCATCATTTTTACGAGAAAAATAACCCAAGAAATACCTTCGAATTTAGGTGTTGTAAAACGAAAACATGATCAGCTATTAAGCACACACGATTGTTTGGCGTTATTTACCATCGAATTGTTACAATTTTAAAGTTTTCTGCACGTTGAAATCGAGTTGCAGCTGTTTAAAGAGCATTTTAASGTGTTTTCAACCACTTGGAGAGAAATTTCTTGATGGCAATTTTGTTATTTATTTATATTTTTTGTGGTTTTATTTTTAAGCTTCCTTGATTGCATGACTTACAAACAGAGCTTTATAGGATTTAGTTGTGATTTCTCGATGAAATTAAAAATAATTATTATTTAGAGCTCTAACTTGGACATTTTGATGTTCTTTTGAAAGCTATTGTTGGATTGCAAATTCTAATAGAAAATCAAGTTTAAATTTGWCTTTTGTATTTGGGGGAATGTATAAAGCACTAATTTGGAATGCTTTTAGAATTTTATGCTATGTCATCTAATTCCAATATGGCGCTGTTGAGTATTAAGTGATGTAATAAGTATGTCCTGCTCGTAAACTAGGGCATCCAATGGTTACATTTTCCTATTGTTGAAGCTGSAGTATTTAAAAAAGTTGATTACTGAATGTGATATAAAACTACATAGTGTTTTCCAGGACATAAATGCATTGTTTTCACTATCTTACATGTAAAAGGCACTTTTCCATCAACAATACAGAGTCTTTATGTCAACTCAATTCAATGAAACACTTCTTGGAAAAGCACGTTTAGAACTGTCATGTTTAAGAGTACATTTGTATAAGTTGACCTGCAAAAATGTTTCACTAAAAAGGCTGAAAAGGTCAGGTTAAACACATGTATGCTGTTGCTTCTACTGTGTAGAAAACAACCTCAAACACAGCATTATATAGATACAAGCTTACAATGGAAGGTTGTGCAAACAAACTTTAATTTGTCTAGATTGATGCACTTAACTCTTAAATAATTAATATAACCAAGTCTGTCAACCTCAGACAATTTCATATCTTATCATTTYATATCTTATCATGGTTACAGACCTTCATCATTTCAGTTTTCCCTATTTYTGGGGTAAATTAACTTTAAAAGCATGAAAGTATTGCCATTTTCTCATAAATGTGATAGATTTAGCATCAGATTTTGATCAGATTATGTGGGAAAGTTGACAGTCGTTTAAAACTTATAAGTTTGTACTTTGGTCAAGCTATTATTAGAACTAGTTGTAAAGGTCAATTGCAAGTTATCAGGTTTAAATTTAGGTTTAAATTTAGATTTTAGATTTTAT